AAGGTTGGAGAGTGCAAAAGCAACACGAAGTTGCTCGGTCGAGACCAGAGCCGCGTCCATCGCGAGCTCTACTTCTCGGACCCAGAAGTGAAGGTTCTCGCCTTCCTTCCCTTCATACGGCTTAACCTTCAGCCGTATTGGCTTCGGGTGAAGCGGATTTGCTTCCACCGCCGGAGCCTGCAAGTTCTTTCGCACATGCGCGATGAAGCCCTACTCGTACGCGTCAAACGCATTGACGCGCTCGGGCTGCTCGGCCGGTGTTGACACCACCAGGCTCTGCAGTGCCTCCATCCCGAAGATGCCTGCCATCTTCCGAACCGACTCGAACTGTGAGTCGTTCATATGGGAGAAGTCGTTCCTGTCCATGGCAACGAACTTCGGAGAGGTTCATGTAGCCTACCCGCGGTGGCGTGGATTGACTACGAGTGCTACCAAGTGTGACGGGGTCACACAGCACCTTGCGCTAGAGGAATTTAGCTTCCAAGAGTATAGAAACTCTCAGTGAACGGTAGTTCACAGGTTCCCTCTTTATTCAAAAGAGAGCGAAGTGACCTAATTAAGGTAGAATGTAAACTGAGTATATTTATAGGTAGATAAAGCTTGGGTTTAATACAAACTACGAGTCACCATAGAAAGCAATGTCACTAACCAATGGTTGGCTTTGGACGACCTTAGTACTTTGTACCAAATATCCCGAAGTATGACGTGTCACACTTCATGTAACCAGGGTACACTTAGGGCTACGTACCCCCGTTACATAAGCGGTACACTTTCTGAACCTCGTATGTCTTGCACAGCTCAGCCCACATGACGGTACCATTCTTCTGGTCCATCAACTGCTGGGCTAGTGTGGTCTTCAGCGACCCCATGATCAGCATCTTGATCTTGGCTTGCTTCTTTGTGTGCTCATCCTTCTCATCTTGACTCCACTGGTCGTCTTCCTCGACCTTGCTAGTCGAGATCTGCATGAGCAAATCTCTCGGGAACGCCACAGTCATGACTTTCTTGTAGAAAGGCCAGTTCTCTCCGTCCCATTGTACCGAGTTGCCGGACAAGTTGATGTGAAATTCCATGTTCTTCTTGCCCTCGCGTCTGTCATCGTCTGAGTCGCTCGAGGACGGCATCTTACCGCTGTAGTGCTGTTTGCGCAGGTAGTCGCTTGAGTTCGGGCTCGTAACCCTATTGGAGTTAGATCGAACGCACTCACAAACAACTTGTTTAGTTAACGGAAACGTTCGGACTGAAGGCAAGTCCGCCGAGTGCGGAATAGGGATGGTTTTGGACTACTTTTAAAATATCCAAAACACTTCCAGAAAACGTCCAATGTTCCGTTCAAAATTCAAAAGCATGAAAAACTAACAGAAAGAATATTCTCAACTTGAGGCGCAGAGTTTTAGACACTTTTGGACTTCCGAGCGGACATCAGCAGGACCAGAGCTGCATCAACGGCCACCAAGAGCTGCCATAAGAATCACAGCGGCCGCTGAGGGCTACCGCAAGGACTCCGAGGCTGTTGAAGGACACTGATGGCCGCCCCCAGCTGCAGTAAGAACGACGGCGGCAGCCCTGATTCTGCTGGAAGGGCCACGACTACCGTCCAGAGCTTCTGGAAGAATGAAGACCCCGACTGGAGTTGGTGAAAGGGCGACTACGACCGCCCTGCTGGAAGGATGGCGGCCGCCTCCCAGAGCTGCTGTAAGGAGAACAACGGCTTCCAGAGCTGATGGATAGACAAGATGACCGCCCAAAACTGCTGTAAGGCCATTCAGAGCTGCCGTAGGAACAAAAGCTGTCACGACGATGATAAAGGCATGTAAGTCGTGGCTTACTTACTACTTGTATCATTATTATACTGCTAGTTGCACTGGAGTTAGCAAAAACCAAGCAGGAGATACACTCAATGCGAAAGACGAATTGTTGTTTTTCTTTATGCTACTTTGCAGTATTAGTTTATTGGCAATATCGACGCTGGCGGAAAACGATAGGATTGCCGCCGGCAAAACAATCAGCACCGTTCGTGATTACGTGTGAAGTCGAGAGTCTCGACTCGAGACGATGTCTTTTGAAGGGAGGTGGTGCTGGTACAGTTTTTCGTAACTAAGGAGGTGAAAGGAATTGTATTCAAGTTAAAGTTTCGTGATCGTTATCGATGCTTTCAGGGCACGATTGATGTCGAGCAAGGTCGATTTCACTACTTCGAATTGTACCGTAGTTGATGTAAATGTATGCCAGCATTTCAACCTTTTCGACTGAGAGTCTGTTCCTGCGCTTGGTGTGAATATGATCAAAGATGCTCCAAGCTCTCTCGCTTGCTGCCGATGATGTCGGTATCGCAAATACAATCGCAGCTACCTGATTCAGAAGGGAGTAGTTCTTTGCATTCTTTGCTCCCCAGTAATCCCGCGGGCATGCTTCAGAATACTTTCGTCGTAAATCTTCACCGCCCCTCCGTTTCATGCATTTAAACTTGATAATCTCAGCAGTTAACTCTGCCACATTGGCAGGGGTTATCAGACCGCACCTGATTGCCAAATTGCAAACTTGTTCGTCAACATTTTCGTCATCATCACCAACGAAGTCGTCGAGGTTGGTTGCTGGATCTAGCAAGAAAGCAACGGCCATCGCATTTGTGTGGACGTATTTCCACCGTTTTTGAATCTTCCCGCGGAAAAAGGTTTGGAGTTCATCAAGTGGAACTGACGTAATAATTGTATACTCGCCATCATCACGGAAATCTGGATTCGATGTAGCCCCAATTTCGTGTTGATTCTCAGTATGGAAAGTAGAAGATAGAATTTCAACCGCGTCACTGAGCACCCCGATCCCAGCACCGTCCTGGTCATGGCCTTCCTGTTCCAAGTCGCTTTCTGCTGGCTCTGGTTGCGGCTGCTCTCCTTCAGGCGACGTCACACCGTATGCTGTGTGATACCGCAGCCACTGAAACCACTGATAGACTCCTGAAATAAATCCACTGTCCGCTTCCAGCGCGCGCAGGGCCTCTATAATGGGGTCAAACATGCGCACAATAGTTCTTAAACTGCTCCAGAAGCCATCGTCACGAACCAATCCAATAACGTAGCGTAGTTTTTTTTTCGATTTGATGGGGTTCCACGATAGCGGTCTCTAAACGTCTCGTAACTGGGGCTCAAAAAAGGTTTTTCCAGGATCTCCTGACTATTTAGCACATTCCGCATGCATGCGTGGACAGAGTACCAACGTGTTGGTACAGGCAACACTAGAATCCTGGCCCTCATTCCAGCCTCTCGAACCCCTTGTTGCAGACGCTTGAACTCATCAAATAGAGCAAGATGGTCCCTTATGAAGCGAGTGATAGTCACGGCTCTTGACACAACAGCTTTAACGGCGGTAAAGCGAGAAACGTCCTGCATCAGTAAATTTAAAATGTGTGCCGCACAACCACCACTGATAACGTTTTGCCTGGTCTGGACCTGCCCTGACGCACTTCGCATGTTACTAGCATTATCCGTGACGACGCCAACCACTTGAGCAGTCGTCTCCTGCTCGATATCAGCAATAACTTTGTCGATTTCGTCAGCAAAGTACCTGGCCGTGTGCTGTTTTGATCTCGTGGACCATGACGACCAGAACATGGAAGGCATCCCTGGGGCAACCACCATGAAGTTTATAATGCTGGAGCCGTTCGTATCCGTCCAACCATCCGTAACGAGTGACACGTAGGTATGTGCGTTGATCAGGTCAATAACTTTCGAGCGAATTTCATCTCGTACTTGTTTCAACAGCACCATACTCAACTTGTGACGCGAATGTAACTTCACTGACGGTGCTACCAAAGCAATAAAGTCGCGAAATACTTGAGCTTCAAGTAGCATAAATGGTAGAGCACACACAAAAAACCCGTGCAAGTGCCATTTCGAACGTGTCTTGATCAATCTCCCTTTTCGCCGACTCTGCAGTCGGTTGTGACGGTGTCACCGCTGGTACAGAAGATGGTGTTGGTCGTAGGGAGATCTGCACATCTCTTGGAACATTAGAACACTCTTTGGCCTTCACCTGGTGGTTCAACAAGTTGCCACTCGGCTTACCGTTCTTCTTCAGAACGCCGCAATAGTTATACCGCCCGTGTTTCTTCCCATTCTCACGTTCGATAGTGTAGTGTTTCCAGATGTCGTCCCGCGGGCGTCCTGTCTTCAAAGGAGACGCTCGTGGTCGTCGTGACGACCCTGGAGTACGGGGTGAGCGCCCTGACGTTCGGAGAGTACGCGGGGAACGGAGTGTAAGGGGAGATCGAACAGGCGTTGAAGTGCGGGGGGATCGAGATGAAGCTACAGCTCGTGGTAAGTTCGGCGGGGTTGGGGTAGGGGGGAATTGCACTGAGGGCGAGGAGTTGGGGGAGGCGAGAACATCACTCTACGTGAGCTTGCTGGTGACCTTGGGCGGCCTTCGAGAGGTCGTAGAGGTGATGAATCCCTCTGGTAGGGGCTGTAACGAAGCGTTCTCTGTCGTGACGAGCCTGGAGGCGATGGAACCCTGCCGGAAACGGAGCGTTGGCTGCTTGGGTACACCCCAGGTGATGCTACCGGGAGCGGCAATCTCTCCAATTGAGGTGGCGAGTTCGCAGCTTTTTCGGTTGTAGTCATGGGCGCGAAAAGTTTTCCTTACTAGTAACTGTGCCTTTGAGATCTCGACTTTGGGAAATCCTCACTGGCTTTCAAACTTTTGGATACTTCTAAAGTGCTTAAAACATTCTGGAGCATTTTAAACGTTTTTTACCTTTACAAATCTGAAACCATCTCTAGTGCGGGAATCCGTGCATTTCCTACCATCACTCTGCTAGCTAAGTTCCAAAAGAAGTCTCCAACTTCTCAGATCGTCTCAAAAGACGTTGCGGTTTCTAACACTTCGAAGAAAAAGAAGAATTATCCCTGCAAGCTCGGACACACTCCAACCGTATGATTATTTTTCAAACGCTAAGTTCTTTCGTAAATGAGATCGCTAGTAGCAGGATACGCTTCGTTGTCTTATCCAGGCCATCCGACTGCCACCAGCGTCTCCAGGTCCCTTTCGTGCTGATCTTTCCATACCTGAAACTGTAGTGCTACTTGCTGCAACATTTGCGCCTTAATTTTGCCGAGGTAGCTCACCTCTGCCTTCTTCTCCTGAAGCTGCTCGAACGTGGTGCGATACCGTTTCTTCGCGTCCTGCACTTGTAGCAGCGGCATGATTTTACCCTCTGTCGCTTCCACCTCTTTCTGCTGATCAGGTGTTGGGCGGTCTCGCAGCTTGTGTAGTTCCAGTGTGTACCCGTCGATCTCCCTGCAAGTAAACCGCTTGAGTCAGCACCTAATCCGAGAAATAGACTCGTAAACTAGTCCCAAACCACGTACATTTTTACGCGGTTGACTGCAAGAACAAGCGTTGCAAACTGGGCCCTCGCCTCGCGGAGGTTAGTCTTGGCCTGTTCCAGGTCGCGCAGAGCCTCCGCACCGGGATTGGCGCCTCCCATGGACTTAAAACGTTCGAAGAGCTCTTTGTCGCTCTCGTCGAGGGTAGGGGCTGATGCCTCGCGCTGCTGCTGCTGCCAATGCTCTAATTCTTGCTGTTCGCTCCATGGCATTTGATTTCCTCTGTGAAGTGGTGGTAGGATTGTTGCGGTTGGCTCCGTTCTGTTGATATTGTTGGCGCTTTTACTAAGCTCAGACGACGGACTGAGATCTGGCGGCGTGTGACCTCGAAGGGCTCGAATCTGCGTCACCATTTTGCTCTCGGTTTTTCTCGCCAGATTTATTGATGACTCGACCGATGCTTTCTGTTCCAGGCAAACTGAACGAAAACTTTGCAACAGTTGATGGACTTGTCGAGCGCTCTGCACTGGTGGGACCTGCTCAGCATCTGTCAAGAACTCGGTTATCTGTTGACGCCTCAATTCCTCGGCATGATAACTGTTTCCCTTGCTGCTGTGGCCGGCCCGCGTCTGCCCAGCAATTGCATCGTACAGGACAAGCTCCTCACGCAACCGTCGAATCTCGTCGCGATACGCAGCTCTCTCCTCGTTTGCCAGTTTATACCCAGCGCCGCAGGTTGCAACGTTGATAATCGCTTGAGTTTTGACACGACGCATTCTAGCTGCGAATCGCAGTGTCGCCAGACTTTGGTCGGCGTGTGCCGGCGCTGGCCATACGCATGCTACCAAGAAAGTGTGGCAGTTGCCACCCAGTGAATCCTTGAGTAAGTTGGTCAGTGGTGATTGTCGAAACGGCACGTGCGCTCGGTTTTTGCTCCCTAGCGCAAGCACAACCTGCTCTAGGAATGATAGCGACCGGTTGATATAGCAGGCCTCGTTGGCCCTTGTGGAACCTGCCTCCGTCAACGTCTTTTTCATCCGCTCTGACCCTGCTAGGTCTACCAAGTGCAGTTTGCTGTATACCACATCGTCTTCAATTATTTCTCGCATTCCATCTTCTTCCATCAGTTCAGAAGACATGACGCTACGTTTCCGCTCTAGGTACAACGTGAAAATGCAGTGCGAACGTGTTGACGCATCATTGAGCGCATGTTCAGCCACTGCGCGGTTGGTTTCGCCTTGAAAAACTAGGTCCAGTGCCTGTTCCTCGCTGGACACGAGAGACTTCGTGAGTCCCCGCACAAACGTTTGTCCGCGTGCGTTCTGCAGAATTGTGAGATCGTTCGAGGCTTGGCTCGTACCATGATTGCCAATACCTGGCGCAAGTAGATCTATGAGGCGGTCATTGTAAATCTCGAGGTATGACATGCGCAGTGCATACGAGTGGTCAGCGTCCTGTTGAGTGCGCTGAAATACACGTGATAATGATCGAGCAATGAGCCCGCGATCCTCGAAGCGACGACGTGGGCCTCCTCCCGACATAGTGAACGTCTTCCCAGCTCCGGTCTGGCCGTATGCTAGAACGCAGCCATTGTAGCCGTTCAACGCCCCATCAACGACGTCGGAGCCCACCAGCCGAAAAACACCAGCTTGATCAATCCCTGGCGAGAGCACTTGGTCGAAACGGAAGCTCGTCCCACCACCCAAGGTGAACATATTGACGGTCTAACGATATGAAGCAGCATCATAAGCGTATAAAGTCAAACGAGTTTGTGCACAAACTACCTGCTGTTGCTCATCGATCACCACTGCTTCACTGATAGCGATTGTCTCGTTGGAGTTAGTAGTATCAAAATCTTTGCTAGTGGTTGGCCGAACCCGGACGCACACTTTGACACGTTTCTGCATTCCTCGCCTCTCACTGACCGTGTCGATCGAGCGCAGACGCCGACAGCATTAGGTCTCAATCGTTAGCGACGCTTCGAAACGGTCGGTACTGGAAACGATGAATGTGCATGGCGAAACGCACCTCTGTCCTATTAGTTTTTCTAAACTGTAGTTTTATCCTGTCAAATCACTTGCGCTTGATGGCGGCGCTTAGATCCAATTCGTCTTCATCTGAGCTCGACGCCACCTTCTTCTTTCTTCCTTTCTTGGCTGAAGTCTTTTTCAATGGCGTTGAGCTCGGCTTTGCCTTTGCAGGGTTTGAGACCGCGCCAAACTCACTCTGAAGCTCACCGCCCTCCTCTTCACTATCGCTGTCACTGCCCATCACACGCTTTTTCTTCACAAGCTGGACACGCTTTGGCTGCTCCTGTTTGCTACTGTGGATCAAATCACGCACTGTTTCGCTGTTTGCCAGTTGTCGGAATTCATTCCGAGCTTCGTCGGTCATCGCAAGACCAGCAGCAGTTGCCTTAGGCTCTTCCTCTGTGAGATCAGCTGCAGTCTCGAGCGATTCTAGCAATTCCGCCATAGACGTCACCTGCTGTGCAGTTTCCTCGTTTGTTGGGTCGTCGCGCAGTGCGATCGGTGCATGCAACGTCGAGAAGTCTGTCATCGCGCCCAAATCAACGTGCTCGACGGTACTCTTAGCAGTTGCTTCGTCAAGAGCTGATGAAATGTCAGCGAATGCGCGACCACGAAGCAGCGATCGGCGGCGTTGTACAGCCTCCTTGTCCGCTTTCTCTTCCTCCTCCTTGAGGAATGTAGTCAGCTCAACAACGCGCGCTGCTGCCACATTTGCGCATCGCAGTACAGTCGCCTGAGATATAGCTGTCCCGCCAATCTTGTGCACAGCGCAAAGCTCGCGGAACGAGTTAAAGGTAAAACTCATGCGTGCGTCCGTAATGCGCTCCTCTCTGTCCGTCGGGTCCATGAAGATGATGGGTTCGCCATCCTCGTCAGTATCGACACCATCATCGTTGTCACTAGAGCACTGCATCCTACCAGCTGCCTGCAGGAAGCAGAATGAGATGGAAATTGGAATGTGGTGAAGACTCAGCGGGACTGCAGAGTGTTCGTCGACGCTGTAAACGGTGACCCCTCCATTTCCAGTCGTACCCTCCTTCACTGCTACTTCTGGCCGGCGGTAGTGCATGAGAGAAGCAATGGCAGCCAGTGAGGCAGCATCCACGATATTTCCGCCGTGGTCCACCACGTGAACGTGACACGTGATCGCCCAAACCTTCTCACCTGCCACCACAGCCAACGCTTCCGTGTCCAGGGCACGACTCTCACGTAAACCACGCTCCACAAGTCGCGCCAGCTCTGCTGCTGCAACTGACGAAGCAGCGCCTCGACTTGCAGATGCAGATGCCTCAAAACTGGGTGACGCCATTGGCGACAGCTCCACGGCAAAGTGAAGGAAACCTTCAGTCGGCCGGTCCGGGAAAGGCGGCACAATCTCACCATGCACGTTTCCAATTACACTGCAGAATCAGCAACGATATCAAGTCAGTTCATGAAAAATATAGTGCACGGTTAGTGAGGTTCACGGCATACCGAGTGCGACCCAGTTGCACTTCAGCTTGGCTCTCGCTCTCACTGCGGCGGAACTGCACGCGGATTTTGCGCTGCTGCAGCAGATCGCGTCCGTCGGCGCGCAAGTGCGGTGATACGCGCAGACAGTTTGCCAGGAACTGGCGCTCATTTTCACTGAGGAAGTCGTGGTCGTCCCGCAGTGCCATTGTCGGGTTTCAATATGCTGTGGTGGATGTCCCTGGCTGAAAAATGTGGGCGCTGATTGGTTGAATTTCTCATTAAAGTTTAAAATCGATGGATGGATATCGGCAGACACTGCTGGGGCGCTCGCTGGCTGACGCGCTACAAGATATGGAGAAGGAACGCAGTGAAGACAATGGCAGTGCGAACACTGACCGTCTACAGGCGGATGGAGATCTGTTGTTCTCGCTTTTCGACAAGGCCATGCAGCTGAATTTTCTAGATGAACACTGCAAAGGCCAAGAGTGGTCAGGCAGGACGTTCACGCACGATTCTTTGGAATTGACAGGGCAAGTCACGGCATTCAACCGGTTCATGGACGACTGGAGTGTGCTGGTGCAAATGAGATCGCAGGATGTTCAGCTGAGTCATAGCGCTGCTGATCTCGACTTCCCAAACCGAAGCCACGAGAACGAGACTGAGCAAGCAATGATGATGCGGCTGAAACTACGCAAGAAACTTTAATGTCGAAAGTCGATACATCGAGTGGTGTGGGCAGGCACCACTATTTAATTGAATAACGTGCACCTAGATTGCTGGTTCATCATGCACAGCGCAACTACTACATGTAATACATGTGCGTGTATTAGTACACATTAGTACACTCCGCGCCAAATTAGATCACGCCCAATTCGGTGGCTGTGGCTCACTCCACCCAAGCAAATTATGTACCACCCAAACTATACTACTAGCACCATAAACCTCTCTTTTTGCATCTTTGGACAATTAATAACACTGAATAGAGTTTGACAGCACTCAAAGTGTGTGTACTGACACTGAAATCCTTAATTATTATAGCCATTCATTTAGCACCCAATCAAAACTCATCAGTAGCACTGTTTTAACCAATACCACACTAGCAAAGAGACAAATGTGTTGGCTCACTTTTAAAGACTCCACGCAGCTACACCCCCCTCTCCACCATCGAACCATGCCTCGCGCCTTACCCTGGACGGAACTTGCTGTCGGCCTGAACCAGGAAGACATCGATCTACTTCTGGGGTCATTTAAAAGCTACAAAATTGTAAAGAGCGACCATGTTCCATGCACTGTCTGCACCAACGCTGCGCCCCACAACATGAGAAAGCGCCTGTTACGCTGCGCGTGCAACGAGTGTATGGCTGCAATGCCGTACGCTGGATGCGAGTGGCGCGGAAAGCTGCTGAAGTGCGAGCAAGAAGATCTCCTTGATCTCTTCAAGGTAGGCTCGCACGTAAGTACTCGCCGGTCGCCTCGGCCACCCCGCATTACGCGAGCAATGCAGAGTTTTGCCCATGAAATGGCGGATCAAGGGCTTAAGCCAGCGCGGATCCGTACCGGATTAATGCGAAAGTTTAAGCTTGGCCCCGATACGTTGCCGCCTCTAAAGGTCGTGCAACGTTTCGTCTATAACTACCTTGCTAAAACCGTTGGTGCCAACGACTACCTCGACGACGTGAGACGTATGGTTCGCGAAACAGCCTTCACAGGCCAGGAGCAAGATTTCGATGCATTTTCATTTACGTGGAGAACGGAATAAGAGGAAAGACCGTACGCTGAGTAGGGAGCTGATGCAAACCCGTTTTTGGTGGGGGTGTCATCGAAGAAGCTACTGCGCCAGGCAGATCGAGATCCTGCGACGTTCGTCCTGCACATGGATGCAACGTTCAAATTGAACCACGTTGACTACCCTGTGTTTGTCGTAGGCATCACAGACTGTTGTCGAAAGTTTCATCTCATGGCAATAATTGTGTCTTCGCAAAGGAAAGAAATACATCTTTTTGAGGCGCTAATGGCCCTTCGGAAGGTCTACTCTCAAGTGACCGGTAAACAACTAGCTGTGCGATTTGCGATGGGCGACGCGGACGACGCTCAATACAATGCCGTCGCTCGTGTACTCGGAGCTGATAGCGAAGTTAAAGTACTCATCTGCTTTTACCATGTAGCTGCAAAAGTTCATGAGAAGACGAGGAAGCTCCACCATTCTCTCTACCCTGTAGTGGCTAGAGGTGTTCATGACCTGCACTTTGCCGCCAGTGAGTTGGAGTATGAAGAAGTCAAGACACGAATGTTGAACGACTGGGCGCTGATTCCGGGTCTTGAGAGCTTCACGGAATATTCAAGCGCCAATGGTTGACGGGTCGATTTTGGAGGTGGCAGGTTGACCATACTCCTCCAGCATTTGCTGTGACGAATAACCCTGTTGAAACGTTCAATGCGTCCCTCAAACGCGATTACACGCTGCGTGTAAGGATGAAAATGGGCTCTCTGCTCCGTCAGCTAATGGCAAGCTGCACTCACGAAAGCACCACTTCAAGAACATTTGGTGTGGACCCAGTCCCACGTGTCACCCTTGTTCGGCGCGCCAGTGCAATGAGAAAAGCCGGAATGCTTTTGGAGCCGCAATGTCTCCGCAACTCTATTGCATATTTGCTAAGCAATGCCGATAAAGGTGGAAGCGCTACAGCCCAGGTTGTCCGGGTTATCTCTCGCCAAGTACCCCGTGTCTTCGACCCCGAGGCAAAGCGTTCCTGCGAGGCGCTACCAGTCACGGCTCAGCTCGGTGAGCAGACAGCCAGAATGGAGATTGAAGGAATGCCTGACGGTGGCTGGCCTGTAAATACTGTGTCTTGGACGTGTCCGTGTCGTTACTGGCAGAAGTTTGCGGCATGCATCCACACGTTGATGGCAAAGCACGTCTGTGGCGTTCACGCAATGGACAAGCGAGAGAGACTCGTATACCGTGGGCCACACAAACGTCAAGGTGTCTACGGTGGTAGACTTCCTGGGCGCCCTTGTCTCAATCCCCCAGCGCTGCAGATAGAATAAGATACAGCATTGGTTAATACATTTGTTAAGATCAATAAAACCGCATAATTGCTTTCCAGCATACCTTTGATTAATAGAGATGGGTTCCGTGAACAACACAGACGACGCGTTGGGAGGCCACCCCCGCAATAGGACGGCGAGCACCAGCAGCACGGACGACGAGCTCCAGCGGCACACACCAGCAACATACACGATGAGTGCCAACAGCACACGCCGGGTCGACGAGCACCAGGACAACGAGCACCACTAGCAGGACGACGAGCACCAGCAGCACACACGACGAGCACCAGCAGCCGGACGACAACAACAAGCACCACGACGCCAAGCACCAGTAGCGCACAGCGTCAGCGACGAGCAGCACGGACAGCACAGCGAGCACCAACAGCACACAGCGGAGGCGAGAGCAGCAGGACGACGAGCACCAACAGCACGGACAACAAGAACCAGCACCACGGACGACAAGCACCAACAGCACATAGCGTCAGCGACGAGTAGCACGGACAGCGAGCACCAGCAATAGGACAACGAGCACCGGCAGCATACGGCGGAGGCGAGAGCAGAGGACAACGAGCACCAGCAGCACGGACGACCGGGGGAGGGGGAGAGAGATGTGGAGGCGGGTACGAAGAGATTTAGAGAATGCTGGCCCTTCATATCTGTTAGAATTTTCGTTAGCATATTTGAAAGGACTGCACGATTTGTGGACAGCCCGACGTGTTGTATGAAAGCCTGCCCTGCTCTTACCTGGGTGCCCTGAGGATGATTTGGGTGTTGCATGTCTCTTTTGTGAGTGTTTGTAGGATTTCCTCCTCACTCAACCCCATACAATGTTGATACGTTTATGTACACTAGACATGATCATTACGATACATAGTACTTGAGTTCAGTAAGCTAAGGCGTGTGTGATTAATGTGTCGCAGTGCCAAAATCAATTGTTTGTATTGGAGCCCTGGTGTAAACTGCAAAATCCCAATCGTTAGCACGTACTTCTCCGGTCCATTAACAATGAGGTTTTTCTTTGAAAAACCTCGCATGTTTGATTGGTCAATGTCCCCTCTGAGATGGGTACGATTGGTTAAAATGAGCTCGTATAAGGATTTGTATGCACGCGGATTGAGAGTATTTGACACGAAAATGGATTGAATTGCTTTTAGTGATATACCACTAGATTAAGCTTCATTTGCGCTTTTTCTAGTATATTTTAAAGTTTAATTCTGATTATTTTTGACGTCAAAGCGAAAAAAAACTCCACCCCTCCATAAAGTGATAGTTCAAATGGTCAGATATTGGCAAAATTGGCGGGAAATTTGTTCATTAAAAAATCGTGCTGATGCTACGTAAGTAGGGCTTTCAAACTAGCTCAAACACGGTTCCGTTGGAGCTGTACGACCGAAGTTATCGCCGATTTAAAGAACTGTTAATTCTTTTTCGGACCAGACATATTCTGTGCGATAATAGGAACAACATATCTAAGTAACGCCCAAACTCTAAAAATTGAGTGAGCTACAGCCACCGACATGGGTGCGTGATCTAATGTGGCGCGGAGTGTACATGTACTTCATTAATAGGAAGAATATCATACGAACGCAGATCTTCGTGCGGTGTAATTTTGTTTAATTGTTAGAGGTAGTCATTAAGTGGTACAGAAGTAAGTGCTAAGTAGCGGCAACTAGCTGGTTTGGGAGCCTCACGTCAAGGGGGCCAAAGTCCACTCGCAACTTTAGCTGGAAAGGAAGGTGAGTGCGCGTGTGGATGAGGTGTTAAACGGCAGGTACACAGTCCGGATCGGGTGCCTTTGCCTACGACGTGCTTTGCGCGTGGCAATCGCATACTACCTATATGCTGTGGAGTTTGGGCTAAAATTCTACCCTTACTGTCTCTTTGGGCTAATTTATTTTGCTATTGCCCGTTGCCAACTGCCAGCATGCTGTCCTCGACGATTAAGAACTCGGTGCGCAAGGCCGCGGTGGCCCCTACGCTTACGCGTGGTATGGCTGCGGCCGCTTCGTCCACGAAGGAGGTGGAAGAAATTGGTGGCTTTGGCCAGATGGCGCAGCCGAAGCTGCAGCTCTTTGGCCTGCACGCCCGCTACGCCAACGCCCTATACAGTGTGGCTGCCAAGCAGAATCAGCTCGAGTCCGTGGAGAAGGAGCTCTTGACCATTGAGGAGACAATTACCAAAGAGCCCAACTTTGCTTCGTTCCTGCACGACCCCACGATTGCCCGTGCCTCGAAGAAGGAGGATATTGCCAAGGTCATGGAGAAGGCTAAGTTCTCCAAGCCCGTGGCTGGACTCTTCGAGGTGCTCGCCGACAACGGCCGTCTTCCGGACGCTGCTGGCGTTATCGCTGCCTACAAGAAGCTCATGGGTGCCTACCGCGGTGAGGTGCAAGCCAAGGTCACGTCGGCTGACCCTTTGACCAAGGCCCAGCTGGACCAGGTGAAGAAGGCTCTCGGTGCTCGTGTGGAGAAGAACGAGAAGCTGCTGTTGGAAACGGTCGTGGACCCGGAGATTTTGGGCGGCCTCAAGGTGCAGATCGGCAACTACTTCATTGACCTGTCGCTCGCCACCAAGATCGACAAGATTAACACATTGCTTGCCAACTCGAGCCAGCAGTAAGCTAGTTTTTCGACAAGCAGGGTCACGAGTGAAGTGGTGTAGCTATTCGTGGGTCGTAGTGCGGCGTCTTGCCAGATATCATACTTTCCCGCGTGTCTGTAGCATCGTATTTTTACTCGCGCTCATGACGAGAAGCGGCAGAGCTAGTACGGCTTACTAAATGAAGAACTTACAACGGGAACGAATGCTTTCGGTTCGTTGCCGGTTGGTGCTGATCTTGGCTTTCGAGCAGTGAGACACGTTGTATCAGGAAAATGAAGTGAACGCGACTTGTTTCTTGCGAATTACTACTGTAGTAAAAACATCCTTACCTAGCATGCACACCGTGAAAGGCCAAGGGTACGTCCGGTAAAATACTTTCTTTCTCCAACTCCTTGCTCTGGTCCAACCGCTTTGCTCGCCGTTCTAAAAGTGTGCAACTAAGCTAATAGCCCTGCTTACGAGTTAGCAACAGCCGCCTTTTGATGACTTGTTTCCTGTGGTGTTGGTGTGACTCAAAATCACGGGGCTTTGGCCTCCATAACCGTACGAACCGGCACCCGCCGCACTGCCCGCTCTGGACCCGTCACGTCCTCGTCTTCGCTGCTCCTGATCGTGCTTCTTAAGCAGCTGCACCGCCAGACTCTCAAACAGCGACTGCACTCCTTCGCCCGTCTTGGCGCTCGTACGAAACACCAGCGCACCGATCTCATCAGCAAACTGTTGGGCTTTGGCAAAGTCGAAGTTGGACGTCACGTCACTCTTGTTGCCCACCACAGCTAAAACTATGTCATCACCCACATGATGCTGCAGATCTGTACTCAATCAAGTTAAAAGAAATAAAGTGTCAGTCTGAGGGTCTATACTACCGCGCAGACCTGACGCACCTTGGAGCCACTCCTTAATCTTTTCAAAGCTGGCCTCACTCTGGAGGTCAAAAACTAGTATAGCCGCCTTAGCGTTGCGATAGTACATAGGCGCCATGGAGCGGAAGCGCTCCTGGCCAGCTGTATCCCATATCTGAAGCGTCAGTTTCCTCCGAGTACCCGAGTCATCTCCAACGATCACGCGCTTCTGCAAAAATGAGGCCCCAATCGTGGCTGAAGTGGGCGTGGAGAAGCTCCCGTGGCAGTAGCGCATGGTGATGGAAGTCTTACCCACGTCTGTGGGGCCGATGATCACCAGCTTGCGGTCTAGCCCGACATCCTCCATCGCGGCTGACCCAGAAGAACGCAACCTGAGTACAGTACCTATTCGAAGACAGTAATATGTGGTCCACGTCACAAAGATAGTTACACGTTGGGGGGATACTTCGATTATTTTCGCAAAGTGTCCTTGGTTGCCTACTTCGCAATAGTGACATTTTCATAGTTAAGACATCAGAACAGTCAATTTGGTAATCGAGGCACCCACATTTTCAGCTAATCATTCATTGACTAAATTTATTCCAATGAGGATCCTCTCTGAACTGGAGCAGTTTCCCAACCATTCCATCCATATTTGGTTGGACTTATTCAAGATTTTTTCCCATACAAACTTTTTTTTAAACGCATTTTCTTAAAATATCCTTAGGTTTCCGACGGTACTGGGCAGTAGGTGGTTTCACTACAGATATAAAGGCGCGGAGAGGCAAGGATGTCGATTGCATCCTTGACCCCTACCAGAAGAAAGAGGGCCCGGACGACAGCGATAAACTCCTTTACGACGATAAACTCCTTCACGACATTCCTTACCGCAGAAGACATGACACTTACGTCCGCTCACCGACTCATCGATGCGGATAAGACTGGTAAGGTGCTACGTGCTGTGCTGGGCAAATATGCATATTCTTTAGCGAAGTCCACCGACAAGGTATGATAAAAAAAGTCTCTAGCATACTACGATAATGTCAAGAATTGGCTAGCTGATACGTATCCACTACAAGGGTATCTAGTGAAACCTCAGCTGCAAAATATTATATACGGACTCAGTAAGTACTGCGGCAACCGCAAGGGGGGGGGCATGTACTCGAACGACGGCAGTGTTGCGGAGAATTGGAGTATCGAGCGTGATGGATGGCAGCTAGACAGTGTCAATAAATCCTTGGGCTACATACTTGGCACGCCTCAAGCTGATCAGCAAGAGGCTCGAGTTTTGAGCGGCTGGAATCCCAAAGATACTGCGAGGCTTTCTTCTTTAGCTGCGCTTGGCGATCCTGTCCTTGCACAAGTCGCAAAAGCTGATGTTCTCAAACACTGGCGCTCAACAACCAGGACTTAATTTGGCGGCGATGATGTCGCCGATGTCGTTGCCGCCTCAATCTTCATGCACTATCCCAACATGCTGCGGCTCTGTGCGACTAGCGCGTACGTTACCAGGATGAGAGAGCTCATGGAAGAGCGAGGCGTCGAAGGGTCAGAGCTGCCGGCTTGGGACCAGTCATTACGCAAGGCGTTCATGCCCCGCCCCCAAGACGCGGCTTTTGCTGGTAACGCAGAGGACCACACGTCCGCGATGACGGATCTCGTCAAGCGGCAAACGGAGTTGATAGATACATTGATCCTACAGGACAAACGGCTTGACGAACGGATGTTAGCTGTTGAGGGCCAGTTACGTACGCTTTCGACGACTGAAACGCAGGATCTAACTTCTAGCAGCGTAACGCTTAGTAGAAGCCGATATGGTGAAGTGCTTTTTCAGAAATAAGAGACAGGATCTGACAAGGAGTCATTATCACGGATTAGTGACAGCACCCGGTGGTAAGGGGGGGGGGTCTAAATTGCCCGACATGGATCCACGCTGCTCGAAGTGAATTGGGCCAATGTAAAGCGGCATCCTAAATGGGTCGACGATGGATCCGGCATGGATAACATACGGGAAGGCAGGATCCACCAAGTGGAGACTCGGATCCACCCTCACCCGATTATACCTAGGGTATATGGGATATACCATGTGCGGTGGATCAAGTGTGGATCCTATGGAGGAAAGACGGTAGGTGTCATCTGGAGGTGGATCTGGTATCAACGGCAAACGAGAAGGCAAGATACACCGCTATATCTCTCAGGTCCCACGTTGCCAAGACCAGATCCAAGGGATTGAGTATCCCACACCGAGTGACCTGGATCCAGGATATGGGAATCTCAAACTTTCGTGGTGTGCTGGAGATCAGTCGTAAGACGATGTTGGAAGATTGGAGAGCTCAGATCCATGATGAGTGTACACTTGCAGTAAGGTGAATCAAAGTGACCTGGATCCAGAATAGTGTACCCATAATATGGCGACCTCATTATGAGTACGCCATGGATCCGGTGGACCCGATGCTAATACAGCTGGGGTGATGGACCAAGAAGAAAAAGGGCAAGTAGCCGAGCCTGGTAGGGGGTTTAGCAGGTAAGAGATATAGAAGGTAGAATTTGAGGCAGGTGATTGGCTTAACCCTATTGCTGCCGGAAATTTACACACACACTTGGATTTTGTATGGTAAGTTGTAAAACTGCTGGGCTTTACTCCGCACCCGCAGCATATTATATCATATTGCTTGGGTTTACCAAAAATTATTGCAATTATTGTAGTAAAACCAAGCAATATGCTTGGTTTTCCGCAAACCACATGATTCGTTCAAAAAAAAATCCTCACAATTTGGTTGGATAAAAAGTGTAAAACCAAGCATATTGCAGGGTTTTAGTGGCAACGGCAGCAATAGGGCTAGCTATGAATCAGACCTCAATTTGCAAAGTATCACGCAAGTGCCTTCCCGCCCTCAAGAATCGGAGCTACATTGGCCGTACGAGCTCGGTGAAGGTTGGGAATTGCGAATCTAGTATTGGTAGTGATAACTGGATAATACATTGGCCAGATCCTACAACCTCGTGAGCTTTTCATTACACGTGCAGATCCGAAGGGCTAACCGGATTTACTACTTGGCCGGGTATACCTAAGAGGCTCTCAGCTCTTAAGATCCCTCCACAAGAGGCGGCACGTACGACGCAAAGGAAAACAAAGGCAAGGGAACACACCCGCAAGGCAACCCTACGGCCAGATTCCAGATCTAGGCCCTGGATCCACCAAGATCGAATATTCGTTTTGGATCCAGAAACAACTACTACGACGCAGAGTGAAGATCTTACCACTACTGCTCCACCCCATGAATCAGACCTCAATTTGCAAAGTATCACGCAAGTGCCTTCCCGCCCTCAAGAATCGGAGCTACATTGGCCGTACGAGCTCGGTGAAGGTTGGGAATTGCGAATCTAGTGTTGGTAGTGATAACTGGATAATACATTGGCCAAATCCTACAACCTCGTGAGCGTTTCTTTACACGTGCAGATCTGAAGGGCTAACTGGATTTACTACTTGGCCGGGTATACCTAAGAGGCTCTCAGCTCTTAAGATCCCTCCACAAGAGGCGGTACGTACGACGCAAAGGAAAACAAAGGCAAGAGAACACACCCGCAAGGCAACCCTACGGCCAGATTCCAGATCTAGGCCCTGGATCCACCAAGATCGAATATTCGTTTGGGATCCAGAAACAACTACGGACGCAGAGTGAAGATCTTACCACTACTGCTCCACCCCATTCCCACGTCTCGCCAAGACACTCAAACTTCACCACTTGAACTCTTCGGAAGTTACCGAGAGAGCAAGATCCCGCCCTACCGACGGGTACACCAGGTGAGGAAAGTTCAGCAGATCACGGACCCCCTCCGTTAGTCGGTGTCCGGGCGCTGTTGGTAAGCTGGACTCAGCAATTTCACAGATTTTGCTAATCCCGCTACACCACATCGACGACATCCAGTCACATGACGCTATTGTGGTGTTGGAATTCCCACGTCAGCTCTAGCTACAAATGTAGTTAGGACGTTCCCACAACAATACGTCTGCAAGGATAGCAAACGACCGTTTGGTCGGACCTGAAGACCCCAGTTCTGCCCTTGCACCGGGACAGACTGGACCTTGTAAACTAACTTGTATAGACCGACCAGTTAAAAATAAGAACACGCTACTAGCACGAGCAAAGCTAATAGGTGTTATGGATCCTCGTGATCCCAACAGCGGAAGGGTACCAGGCACGGGTAAGCCTTTTACGAGGGCACCGAGTGTTCAACACTCGGTTGGAAGAATAAAAGGGATGCAATACAAGCATTTCCAGTCGTGTAAATAGGCAACAATAAGCCGTCACGTAAAACCTCCCGATAGTAATTGGCCAAAACACACAGTCTCTTGGCCTTGCCGGATGAACCCTCGCTACAGAGCTTCGAGTTCACCGACAGGCATAACACACTCAAACAAGCTTGACCAGACGCTTACCTTGAAGCCGGACGTCGATCTGTGTGCTTGAGTGGAAATTCTGTTCTGTATTTATGTTTACCCTTTAGGGTCTATTCCTAATTAGAAGTCCTAATCAAGTCTACAAATATCAAGTGAACAATGATCCGTTATGGATCTTCTTGCACGCCAAGCGTCGTCTGCACCGTCGCATGGGCATCTTTAACAGCTCGCGCATTGTCCCAGACGGTGAACGTGCATTCAAAGGGTCGCTGAGTCTTCCGCGAACTCATCCCAACCGCCACCGAGGGCTCGTACCGTAGATGGTCAGTTCTTGGCCGCTGAATGCGAATCCGGCCAGTCCATTATTAATAATAAGGACAGCCTAGACTCAGTGACATATGGACCGTATCCAATATCCGTTGAGAGTTCGGTAGTGACGCCGTCGAGTCTCTTGCACCTTGGCGTCACCGTACATCACGTGACCGAGGGTTCGTTGGTTGAACATCTTGGGCGATGCCGCGTCTTTGTCGACGGGCGATTATCTGCAACTATGAAGAAATCACTACACCACAACGGCCCCTGTCGCAATGGAAGCCACGGTACTGGTGTCCGTTGTGACATTTTTTCATTCTCCAATTCACCAATCAATCACAGGATATCCAAGCGCCTCAATCGTGCCTTAAATAACGTGCTCCAGCGTCTGAGCCCTCGCCGACAGCGTGAACAGCTGGAGGTTAGTCAGCTCATCTTCTTCTTGAATCATCGACACCTTGCTCATCACCGTGCATTACTCGTCTTGTTGCTCAGGAGGGCGACACCGAGGTTTCGAACGCCCCCCAGCCTGCCACACTCTCTTCGACGGCAACGTCGTCAGCTGGACCTCCGGCGCTTCCTCCCCGGACTCTTCTCCTCCTGCTGCATCTCCTGCGGCACTTCCTGTCGTCGCTGAATCCACGGGGTTGGCT